GGCATGAAACTTTCAGTAAAGCCAATCGACAGCTGGTCAAGTGGAATCCGCCGTCGTCTTCTGGTAGAACCGACCTTCGATTCTCTTAAACCAACACTTTAACTCGAAATGGAAGTAAGCTAAATAATAAATGCAATTCATTGTCATCATAAGGCCCATTCAAATCCGTTTTGTTGAGACCCCATTCTCAATATTTTCATTTATCTAAGCGACCTAGTTTGACTAAGTCTGTATGTATCGACAAGTAATACAGCATTACTTGAAATAATCACGTTTGCGCTAGTTCGGTTCTCGTAAATGCTCACCTAGAGATGCTTGCTATTCTTCAATATATGCAGAATCATGAATAGCCTCTGGTTAGATAACTCATCTTGCTTCATTCATTCCATAAGACCCTGGTTGCCGACTATGAGCCATTCATGGGGGACTAATTTATTATTATTTTCTGCACAAAAGCCCTCATAACTGTTTGTGGGAATGACTTGTAAAGAGTACTTGCAGAGCACCACTAGAGACACCTGGCCCGAAGCGATGTCCAGGCCAATCACACTTCCGGAGTCCATTCCTATCAGTAGCAATTCCCTGCTGTCTTCACTGTGGGACCGATGCGAGGTCGAAACTGTAGTTCACTGGTGCCTGGACGAGAACGACTTTTGGGAAAGCAAGGCTATGTGAAAATTCAATGGAAACGTCAGCTCAACTCATATCAGTGTGGGAAAATTCTTCTTCTACCAGTCCTTCATCACCTTAAACGAAATTGGGTGAATACATCTCATATTAGTGATTTACTGGTAGTCACGAAAACAATACTTAATGCGAAAGTTAAAGATTAGTAGTCGATTGTTATGGCGAATATACGTTTGCTTCATCGACAATCCTACCAAAAGAATATGAAATGGCAAAAAGGCATGGCCTTCCTTGAAAATTCACATTTGCCCTGTGACCCAAAAGGCGCTCGTGGCAGTGTAGCCGAGTTGTTAGTGCGTCAAGCTAACATCCTGCACTGTCGCGGTTCGAGTCCCGCTGAGGGTGTTGAGAAGACCGATGCGAGGTCGAAACTGCAGTCCACTGGTGCCTGGGTGAGAACAACCTTTGGGAAAGCAAGGCTATGTGAAAATTCAATGGGAACGTCAGCTCAACTCATATGAATGTGGGAAAATTCTTCTTCTACCAGTCCTTCATCACCTTAAACTAGATTGGGTGAATACATCTTATATTAGTAAATAGTACTTGCAAAGCAGCTCACTTGGATCCGGGACATGGGCGTTAGGCACCACTATAGACACCAGGCCCGAAGCGATGTCCAGGCCAATCACACTTCCGGAGTCCATTCCTATCAGAAGCAATTCCCTACTGTCTGTTGCGGAGCAGCCAATTTGGCTTTTCGTTACGGCTGTCCTAGCCACACGTCTTTGCTGCTCAGTTTCACTGTGGGGCTCGCGATCTTCACTGCCATGACGGTCGCCGACTGGCTCGTCATTTGCTGTAGTTTTTATGAGGCTGGATGCTGCGTGGAAGAGATGAAGAGGTCCGGTCAGCTTTCCGAGTTCGGCAAGCTCATCCTTTTTCGGCCAATCAGACACCAACTGACTAGGATTGGTGCGAGATGAAAAGGCTTTCAATTGGCCATCCTGAAAGTGTATGAAGAGTCGGATTGAGCATTTTTCTAAAACTTCTAGGATGAAAACACGGGTTAATTCTACTAAATTATTGCCTCTCATCTTTTTGAGGGAATAATGAATGTTCGCGATGTGAGAGCGATTAAGGAATCTGCCAGAATATAGGTTCCACATTTATCGGAGATGGATAAAATTGAGCGATTTACACTTAATTAATTAAAAAGAGTTGTGGCTTATGTGCCAAATAATGAAAAAGCTAGAAACGCTCTGCTTAAAAGGCAGATCAAAAAATTATATAGAAGATTCTCAATTTAAGGCTTATTCATGCTTACGTCACAGTCTCTTACGGAAGGATTCTTTGTCAGGTCGAATTTTAAAGGAATATCATATTGCCTCATAAAGGAAAAGCACCAAAAATTGCACTTGGATACATCTTAAAATTGCAAATTTCTTTTTACCGGTTTAATAATTTCTTTGTTTTTTATTAGTCGAAAAAATATGTATAGCATATCTAAACTGTAAAGGAATGTATGTCTATTTCTTGCATAAGCCTAAACCTATAGACTTTTAGCCCAAAAAATTTAACCCAGGCTCTGGAGGAGGGATAAGTTATTATAATTTAAGATATGAAGACCAAAATGGTGTGGCCTTCGGTATGGTCGCAGAAATAGCGCCTGGAGTGAAACGCAGACTGGGACTGGAACTGAGTGAAACCGGTCAACCAGAAAGAGAAGGAACGGATCTACGGGACCATGAGCGGGATCCGGATTGCAGGTCCGAGTCGGATTAGCCGATGGAAAGAGAGGGCTTCGGGGTGAATAGAAAGTGTGTTGAGGCCACGCTAGATTTGCCACAAAAGGGCACATATTTGGACGAGTTGAATGCAGAAAAGTCAGAAGTTGTGATAGGGCGGGAGTTGGATAAGATAGATAGGCCAGGACAGAAAGAGGAGTGATAGTGTAACTGTTTTTGACAGAACATTGGCGGAAGAATTGACTTTACTTGTCTCTTTGACGAGTTCCTAGCTTGGTACGGAGAATGGCAAAACTCACTAACGATGCTAACTACAATGCCGGCGAAACGTTTGAGAATGTACCAAGTCCACTGTCTGATGCTGGGAATTAGGATAACTACTATGTCAGAGGACTTCGGACCAGGTGCGTTCTACTAAGTCTCCCGGACAACAAGATCAAGTTGCGACAACGGGGTCAACACAACTTACTATTATTTAGGTCAGAAATAGTTAGCCAGGTCTCGATTAAAAGGAGTGAAGCAAAATGTAGATATGCCGCCCTTTGCTCAACTGCTTTAATTTAGTAAGGATGTGCTCGAATCACGGGCACAATCCGAGCTTCCCAATTCTGAAGAATCGAAAAAGCATTAAAAGAGCATTTTTGAAGTACGTCCGGACATAGAAAAGACCACTCCTTACTGAAATCTTTTCATTTTAATTAAAAGCACTAAAATATCGA